CAACTAAGGCAAAAATGTAATTAATTCAGAAAATCTTTTCAGGACCCCACCTTGATGTTTCAGGACCCCACTTTGGGTTCTGACCCCAACTTTGGGAAACACTGCTCTAATGGATCCAGACAAATGTCTTTTAAATTTTTGGCCAGGCAGGTCTGATTTTTATTTATTTTTTCCCCACCTGGAGGTAAGCCGGAAATCCGGCACAGTGCCGGAATACTGTCAGCCCTGCATAAACAATATGCATTGCTCCAGATTTAGTCCCTTCAAGTCAAGATAACTTCCAACAATGATAAAACTAAAAAAAAAAGAAAAAAAAAAAGAAAAAAAAGAAAACCTACCCAACCCACATTTTTACAAGTAAGTGATATTATTGATAACCTAGTAATTTTGTGATTGTTGAGCAGATTTAATACTTCTTAAGATTATTTTTTAATATTAATAAAAGAATTGCAGATTTTTACATTTTGACATGAAAAACATTTGAACAGGGGCAATTTTTTTGGTGGGAGGGATTTTCTAAATCTCATTGCCAGTTTACATACACAAAATTGAACAGTTTTGTTTAATTAAAACAGTTAACTATTTGACACATATTCATGTTAACAAGCAGCTGTGGAGTGAAGCAGTCTTAGTAGGGCATGCACCCCCAAATGTTTTTTTCAAAACTATGCATTTTCCAGCCATTTGAAGAGCATTTTACTTAATTCTTAGGATTAACAAAACAACCTAAGTTTAATATATTATGAACACTAAAAACCTTACTTTACATGTTGAGCGTCATGAGTTAGTTTTGACTGCATTATAGCCACGGAACAAGTTACCTTTATAAATCTGAAGGATCAGGGACAATTAAACAAACTAAATAATTCCAAATGTTTTTTAACAGGTAGAACCCAGAAGCAGGTAGTCACATGGGAGCTCGGTGAAAATAAAATAATAAAATCTAAATAAAAAGCTAAACTAAAAGCCAACATGGTGGCAAACTTACTATTTCACAAAAAGTTCCCACAAGAGGTAATCACAAGAAGTGAAAACCCAAACATGTGGCAGAGAGCCACACCAAGGCTGAACTGACAACCAAGTACAAAGACACACAATAAATTGGCTGTGTCTCAATTCAGAGGTTGCAGCCCACGTAGGGTGCGTTTGGTATTTGTGCAATGCCTGCTGTGACCGTCACCTGTTGTTGGCAGTGTATAAACTCCCTCTGTCTTTATTTTTAAATCTGCCTGGCAACTGTACGTGATTGGTCAGTAGGCTGCACTTCTAAGGCTCTGTGACCAGCGCCCCATGACAGAAACAAACCCAGTCTGTGGAAATTCACTGGTGAGTGAATGTCATTAGGTGAGAAATATAGTTTATAAAATTCATATTGCATGCAGGCACACACTAGTGGGTAAAACCAATTATAACTTGATTTATAACAATATACATTTTCCTCCCCCTTGTCAGAGAGGACGTTGCCCCAGAGCTATGGGCCGGCTACCAGTGTTTGAAACCATGACCTTCTCACCGTGACACATTACTGAAACAGGAAAATACACTTTTATTTAAACACCTGAAATTGTTCGGTATCTAAGTTATCATATTGCTGATATTGTAATTGACACATAATTGTCCAATTAGGTTTAACCTGAATGTACGAAGAAGAGAGATGAAGGCCTCTTCTGAACTACTGTAGTTTCATACTGACTACACTCTGATGTTTAATTTATTGGCTGTGTTTTTATTTTTATTATGATTTCCAGCTGTTTTATTTGACTTACACTTTTTTTGGTTTTATTTTTGACCCAGACATGGCCTATAGCGACGTTACAGGCTGCTGTGTGTCCAAAACCTGAAGAGAAAAATGTCTGATTGTTCACTCCAAGAGATTCATTCTCTGTGTGATTTTTGTTTTCTGTTTGCTTGCTAAGGTTACCACATGACTCCACAGTTTGCACACATTTAGTGGACCTGAAATCTATTAGAGGTTGAGTGTTCATTTACTTTTGATTTCTTTGATTTTCATTTTTGTCCTTAAATTTTGTTTCTGTCATTTTCAGTATTAACTTTTGTGTTACCATTTTAATGCTTATTAATCATCAAAGTTAAGTGTCCTGATGCATCTCAGTAATCCAGGTAAAAAATCAAAAAGAAAAAAATTGTATAGGTCATCTGGCACATTGCTCGGCACAAACAGAGCAATGTTGTATATGCTGTTAAGTGCCAGGAGGACTGCGACCAGTTATACATCGGGGAAACAAAGCAGCCACTGTTCAAAAGAATGTCCCAACACAGACGAGCTACATCTAATGGCCAGAACTCTGCAGTTTTCACTCATTTACAGGCCAGCGGTCACTCTTTCAGAGATGAGGATGTTCTCATTCTTGATAGGGAGGAACGTTGGTTTGAGAGAGGAGTAAAAGAAGCCATTTTTGTGAAGAAAGACCGTCCATCATTAAACAGAGGTGGAGGCCTCCGTTTTCAGCTGTCCCCCTCCTACAGCACTTCCGTTGCCAGTATCACTCCACCCCCTGTTAACAATAAGTGTTAATAAGGTGTCAACGATAGTCATGTGATGTGAGTATCAGTCACATGGAGGCAGGGCTTAAAAGCCTGAATTTTGCCTGAAACTCTCAGACTGAAGAAGTCTCTTGGAGGAGAGACGAAATGTTTCATTAGAGAAGAACCCATCCAGAAGACCTATACAATTTTTTTCTTTTACATCAAAGTTAAGGTTCAGTTTTGCAGTAATACTTTTTTCCAAATGGATGCACATGAATGTTTTGATCACATTAGTCTAAGCTTTAAAAATTTAATGGCTACATTTTTGTTGTGTGGGTAAAACAAATTGAATCAGTCTATTATGAACAGTGGGTGTAGAGATTTCCACTAACTTGTGTCTCAAAAATGCAGAAATGCTGCTGTAACTGCAGTGAAGATCAGCTTACACGTAGAGCTTACATGTAGGTGTTGGTGTGACAATGTTGTCATGTGTTTGACATGATGATTTTATCACGTGAGTTGAACACAAGTTCATAACAAAATAGTATTAATATGAACCCATTTATGCCAGATTCTTTCCCAGCCATCCTTTATAATCCTTTCACATAGTAAAAAAAATAGTGCACTAGGGTTGGGCATAATCGTATCGTGTGTGATTAATCGTCAGAAAAACATTAATCGATTAATTTTTGGCACTTGACGATTAATAAGATTAATGCCAACAGTCAGAATCCGCTCGCTGCTCCTCTCAGCTTCAAATATGACAAACATTAAAAAAGTTCTGTAACTTATTTATCTATCAACACAATTTAAAATTTCATCTATAGCCTGAAGTCTGTAATTTTGACACAGTTTGGAACCGATTTTTATGAAGAGCAAATCTTTCCCACTAAATTGGTCATGTGACTATGAAATAAGGGTGTCCAGGGACTCCAGGGGATTAATTGTCAAATTAATCGTTATCGGCTAAATACCACAATTAATCGTGATAAATTTTTTTTGCCAATATTGCCCAACCCTATAGTGCAGTGTTTCCCAAAGTTGGGGTCGGGACCCAAAGTGGGGTCCCAAAACATCAAGATGGGGTCCTGAAAAGATTTTCTGAATTAATTACATTTTTGCCTTAGCTGTTACAAAGGAGTAAGGTTAGTATATTTAAAATGGAGAAATTTAGTATAAAAAATATTGTTACTATGCCCATGTTTTGTTGATCTGATGCAAACGTTTATCATCCAAAAATAGTTGGGAGCACAGGTCTCTGCTACTGTTATTTTGTGGGTCAAAAGCTGAAAAGTTTTGGAACCAGTGAACTTTGGTTCCCAAAGTTGGGATTGGGACCCAATTATGGGTCATGAAGCATCTTTGATAATCTCCAGAAATCGATTTAAAGGGTAATAAAATAATTGCTGATCTAATATTTTCCCTATAATTATTACAAAAACACAAAATAAGTAAAAATAAGTATTTATATTTGTGTACAAGCTGTTTAGATTGTCAAAAAGCCTGTGTTTTTAGGGTTATTAACGCAGTTCATGTACTCAGACCAGTAATATTTGGGSTCACAAGTTTTTGCCATGGATATTTTGTGGGTCAGAAGATAAAAAGTTTGGGAACCACTGCTATAGTGCACTGTATTGGACATTTATTTTATTCATTTATGAAATTATAATTTCCTAAATTATACTTTTAGCAGTTTATTGTAATGCTACTGTAATGTTTCTGTACATTTAACAGAAAACATTTCACAAATGTGACAATGAACATAAAATATTTGTCAAAATAGGCAGGTATTCAAGAGGATTACTTAAAAAAAGTACATATACACCCACACATTAGGCAACAACTGGAACTTCGACCCAACCAAATTTGGCCTTAGTGAGCCTAACTCAGAACTAAACATTTTTTTACTGGATTCCATTTTACCAGACTGTAAACCAGGATTAAACCAGGTCTAACCAGAACTAAAGAGAAATACATTAGTGTTGAAAACAAAAGTATTTTAGTTTACTAAAGACTGAATTACATGTGGAATTATTTATTCTCTCAACATGTTTCTACACCTCTGTAAAAACAATTCCTCACCAATGGGTAAAAAGACATGTTGCAGTGATGTCTCTGGTTCAGCACTGATAAATCTGCCAAAATTTCAACGTCTTCGTTCTCGTCAAACAAACATTTAAGCTGCCCTCCTCCGCCTCACTCTGACCCAGGATCAGCTTCCAATCCCCGCTGACGCTCAGATCCTGCCGAACGTCAAAACAGAAACTGATCCTGGATCAGAACTGAACAACAAGGCTGTCAAAACACTGCCCCTCTTTAAACCGAGCCAACTTGTTGCGTGTGACAGAGAGGCGCTACGAGGCTGGGTGTTGGCGCCTCTAACCGAGAGAAGAAGCTGCTGCTGCCCCTGAGTCGTGTCCGTCCGCCCGGCAGAGAAATCCTCGCTTCCCGAGTTGAAACAAACGGCTCGAAGGTAAGAGAAGAGCAGGCTCAAATATGGCTAAACTTCAAGTTCTCCACATTGTTTCTTTTCTCTGGGAAATCACATTTTAAGAGGTAAAACTTGTTCCCAACATCCCCTGTTAATTAGTTCAGTGACAAAAGTTCAAATATACAAGTCAATCCAACATCCTTTAACAGTAATGTGAAAAAAAAATTGTACTTTCTTTAAAGGTGTGTCACCGGACAAAAAAAATGGCATGTGACAGTAGACCTTATGTCAAACATTTGTAATGTCTTTAAACTTGAAATCCCCCCCTAGCTTTGAGTGATTTGTACTTGATGCATGGGTCTCTTCACCTGAGCACCGAGAAGTTTGTGATTTTGTTTTGATTTTAAACCACTAAAATTGTCCAATATTTATAATGAACATTGTCTATGGAATAATTTAGAATTACAACAATTTACTCCAAGAATTAATCTAAAAACAATTATAATGCCATGTGTATAGTCCCGTAAAATGTCTCAAGGCTAGCATGGATGTGGCTAGCTACACCGACCTGTCAATGGCTTGAGTTTTCATCCTGAAGAAAACCTCTTATAAAGTTCTTATTTCTTGCTTAATTTTTTATAAACTAAGGTACAAAATTAGGAATTTTATTGTTTACATAAAATGAAAAGAACTCTAGCAACAGTGGCTTAAAATAAGCATTTTTGATTTTGTGTTTCCCATGTTTTGTGTTTAAGTCTACGCATGCAGACATAGATATGTATTAAAAAATAAAACGTATCTTTCAAGTATATATGGGGATTTATATGTGGATAGATTGAGAGAATACGTTTGTATATTAAAATACATTTTTAACCATTCATGATTGACACAAACATTTTTCTTCAATAAAGTAACTATAGAATTGCAAACCCATACAGTACAATATACTGTATGTGTTTATGCTGTTTGATAGTTTATGTCAACTTAACTTTACAAAAGTTTTTGCTGTAACTGTGCAATTTTAACATCAGTACAAATTATATCAGGTCACAAAGAATTGTTTAATGCATTTATTTTTGTCACAAAGGATCTTTGGTTTTATATTGATGAGGGCTGTATCTGACCCACAGCTGGTGCAATTTTTCCATCTTCCTTTTGTCTGGAAATCTGAACAATCTGGCCTATCAGACAACTTGACAAAGGCTGTACTATTTTATGTTTTTCAATCATTACATTAGTCTGCCATTAGCCAGTCTACATCATCATTTATTAAACAATATGCAGTCCAAAAGTAATATCAGTAAATAGTATATTTGACAACAGATAATCAATTATAAGAAAGGTCAAGCATGACCATTGAAACCTTTTAAATATTAGCATACAGATTTTACAGTTAGAATAATTAATTTAGGTTAAACATATGTAATATTTACCTGTGAAAGATAATCCCTTTTGCTCTTATAAACTTGTCACAATTTCTGCAGTATATAGCAAAGCATTTTTACCATTTGTACACTTATTTGTTTGCACTCAGTTCGGCTCATTAATTTCTGTGGTTAGCATTAGCTCTGTGCATAAAAATCCCCCTTGTGAAGTACGCCTCGGTCACGTGATGCCCAATCCAGTAATATTGATGTATACATTTACCCTATAACATTCACTGTATATACTATTGGCGATACAATCTTCCTGCGTATGTTGTGCTGCAGTATGAACTCGCATTGTACATAGATGTGCAACATTCCCTCCCGGTGTATATCTTCTTCCAATGTTTACTAAGTGCACGAGCATGTGCCTAATGAGCAATGTGCTCCTGTGCTTTTAATGCATTGTCTTTATAAAATGACAGCTCTAACTTAAATACTGACTGTGTACCTTCTTTATTTAAACCCATCAGCGTAGCCACACGTTTTTGTTTAAATAAGTACAACAAGAGGTGTTTCCAAAGGTCACTGTTTTTATTGCAATTTGGTTTGAATGTGAGTGTGTGACAGAGAACAGGCCAGCTGATAAGCATGGGGCTGAATACTGTTTGCTAAGTGCCACAAGGACAAACTGGGACAAGGACAGTGGACAAGAGCTGTCAGTGACTTTACAGTTTGAAGTCAAATATTTTCCCCCGTCCAACGCTGTTCCACCAGCTTTCTTTACATTTTACTTCAAAAAGTGTTGAAATAAACGTTTAAAGTTTTAAAGATTTAAGGATCTGTCTCTTGATAATTGTAAAATTGTAAATACTGTAACTTTTAGTCAAAATGTTTTTGTATTATTTATGTCATCAATAAAACATCTGTAGGTCTACAGAGACTTTGGCCATGAAACGAATTAGTTAATTTCACAGCAAAAGTACTCCTATGTAAAAGAAACTGTTTGTGGAAAGTTAACTTGCAGGTTTTTCAGAATAAACGACCTTACTCTTACTTGTGGTTTGGGATTACAGCCCTTGAAACCTTTACCTTTCCAGAAAATGTCCCAATAAAATAGATGTAGGATAGAAAACCTGGAGAATGAAAGACAAAGGTGGAGCAAAGAGGGAGGCGAACATACTGTCTTTTGTTTCACGTGAGATAAACTGGGACCTTTCTTTAACTGACATGATCACTGATCTTATAGAAAACAAACAAAAGGAACAACTGGGAGACGGAGGAGAGGAAGAACACTCGTAGACTCTCTCTTTACCTATCCTTGTTTACCTTTCGTTGTGACACCTTGGTGCCTCTCGAACACAAATTTAGCAACCTCAACGAGGAGACATTGATTTATCAATGTCATGCCTGTGATCTGTACTGCATCAGCCATTAACCTCTGTTTAGCTAAGGTAGAACTGATCTTTAGTTTTGACAATAAATTTGCATTAATTGTCTTTTAATACAGTTAAATTACAGTAAAATTTGATTATTAATATAATGCACTGTCAGAAAATAGGGTACAGTAGGAGTACATTTTTGTGTATTCTAAGTAAATTTCTGTCCCCTGGGGTACATTCTGGACTTTTGTACCCCTATAGAGCTAATAATTGTACCTTACAGAACATATTTGTACTTTTTGAAGGTTTGAAAGGTACAATTATGTTCCCAAGTAGTTTTTTTTTCCCAAGTACTTTTTTTTAAGAGGGTACAAAACTGTCACTGAAGGTACAATTTTGGCCTGTATAAGGTACAAAATACAAGGGTACAAATAAGTACCCACTCTTGAGGGTACCACCCCAGTGACAAGCCAATGTACCCATAAAGGTACAATCTAGTACTTTTTTTTCTGACAGTGTGAATCGAAGCAGTGACCGGTCAGTTTTTGGAGAAGGTAAAATGGAAATCTAAGTGTGTCTTTTGTGTTATCTGATTACCTGTGCAGAATTAGCTACAGAGTTAGCCACATAAAGTCTTTTGCTGTAGTTGCTCTCTTGTGGTTTCCATGTGTGACTCATGGCTGTAGTATGCTGCGCTGGTTTGTTCTGTCTGCGTCCCTCCTCCTTTTCCCTCAGTTGCCCAACAACTCTCCCTCGTCTTCCTCTTCTCTTTGTTCCTCAAGCCTATTTTTTTCTACTTCTCTGCACTCCCTCTGCTTTTGAGTCCTCTGATTAAAAGGATTTTGTCTTCTCCTTTTTCTCCGCTGCCCTGCAGGATTCCTTCTCTCTGCTTATCTCAGCTACTTTTTTGTTTCTAATATGCTTTGGTCTGTCTGTTAAAACTCGGATCAGCAGCCACAGTGACGAGTTTAAAAAGTCTCCATGTCAGGACTAAATTAAAGTTCACATTATTACCATGCACTTCCATGTAAAATCACTACTTCTTGACTTAAATTTTCTCTGCTTGAACCAATGTACACATCAAAGAGTGCAAACTGAGCTCACCCAGTGTTAGGTGTGTTTGATCCATGACACAGTCCTTCCTGTGTGTGAGTGTTGGTCTTTCTGGAAGGATGTGTTACACTCTGGAATGCATTGCTGCTAATTTAGGAATGAAAAATCCCTCTTAGAACAGGCAGCTGTCTTTGTAGTGGAGGGACGCGAACACATGACATTCAAACATGTGGGTGGCTATGTGTGGAAAAAGATACACGGCTCACATGCATGATTTCCCAATAACAGATGAAGTAACTCACAAGTGTTCAGTTAGAACTAAATCTCTATAATCAATTATCTCAAAGAGTTTTACTGTCACAGGAGAAGTCCACCCTCTTAGAAAAGATTTTACGTATAGAGTATGATAGAAATTATCTGGTCTTTACCAGGTTCTAAACATTTTCAAGTCGAACCACAAGTCTATAAAACATCAAACAAGTAGTAATAGTAGTAGTAGTAGTAGTTTTGTTGATAACATGGTGGAATCTGTTGGTTATTTTTATACACTTGAGGTTTGAGTTTAAAACTTTTAGAACCTGGTAAAGATCTGGGCCCGTATTTATAAAACTTCTTAGAATTACTCTTAAGAGTGCTGTTAAGAGTGGACTTAAGTGTAAAATAATTCTTAAAGGTGAGAGTAAAAGTCAGTTATCAAGCGTCTCAGTCTTACTTTAAGCGAAGTGTAGGAGTAATTTTCAGTCTTAGAGCTGATTTCCGACACCTGGCTGTGCCGCAAAGCTGATCCTGGATGACGTCGTCAGAAAAAACACCGGCATGGACCGATCACTGCCTCGGATTTTATGTTCAAGGATATTGTTGGAGAAATGGCAAGATAAAACTGTGAAAATCCTAAGATAAGTTCACTTTCAACACACTAATGTTATCACCTTGTACTGATTGTCTTTAGAATTACATAAAATGTTCTCATTTGCATCATGAAAACAGTTTTTTTAATCAAAAACAAGATTTTTTTCTCAGAGCCTGAGGTAATGTTGAGCAGCTCCCTCCTCTTTGCCACTGTCAGACAACACCGGCTTCACACACACATGCACACACACAACCCCACTCCATCAGTAACAGCTTGGTCCGAGCGGAGACCCCCCACCCCCTCATTGTATTGCGTGATTGTTAATAGAATAAATGAAAGTTCAATCCCACCGTAATTTATACTTGGGGGTGGGGGGTGGGGGGGGGTCGCAGC